ATACCGTACTTTTATCGATTCCGGAGGTACCAGATACACCATCATGTGTTCATAGGAGCAGAGTTGACGTACCAGAAGGAGTTCTGGCGAACTTCGAGCTTCAAGCCACTGGTTGATATCTATCACACACAGATAGAACGAACCTGCTGAAAGACTTGCCCTTGGTGGACTCCAAGTTTGCATTACCGGCCCAGTTAGATAAAAAACTGCGAAGCCTTGTCGATTTCGGGGCGAAAGCTTCTTCACCAATGCTGGAGATGGACGTTCGTGCTAATCACGAAATACTTTAGAACTCTCTGCATCTGTTTACGTACTTCGTACCATTAGTAATAATGTTGATTAAACGGATAAGAGAACCAAAGAGAAACTGTTCAATCTTTTAGATACACTCATGTCAGCAGGTATCAAACAAGCGGCTACTCAGCTGAGAGAGATACACTTGATGGAATGGAGAGAATACCTATTCAGCACAGCCACTTTCGGGATCATACTACTCAAGAACTCATACCCGAACTTTTCGGGAAGCCATTAAGAACGGAACTGATGTCGAGCGACTCGTTACAGAAAATTATCCACTGTATGAAGGTAACAACTATCGATCTGGACAGGCAGTTAAAAAGTGGTACATTCTTCTAGCAAGTTACAAACCCAAGCGCCTCGCTGACTGCGTTGAAATCTGGCGCAAACTTATCTGCGGACCGTGAGGTGTTGTTGGAGGAATGCTTCAGGCACTTTCACGGTACCAAAGAGAGATTGGGACTTTAGATTCACCTTGAGTCTCAAAAAGTTGAATGAGTACATAGACCCGCCGCATTTTAGATTCGAAAAGGTCACACTAGGCGATTTCTTCACAAAAATTACTTCGGTTTACCATTCCATTGTAATTGCGGCAGAATCTAGGAAACTCCTAGGAAACTTTAAAGTATTTCCTTTTGGCATTAACACGGTCCCTTATGTATTCAACAAACTCATGAGGGTGCTTGCGCGATATTTGAGAAAGTGACAGGTCACATCTATTAACTATCTGGATGATTGAGAAATATTTTCATGACCAAATAAATATAAAGATTTTCCAAGAAAACTTCCAGAAATTCCAGGTGTACTTCCGGAACAGGATCATTCACTGTATTGTGATTGTTAGAAATTTCATCCCATGAATTACTCCAAAGATCCCACATGATTTTTCTAAATAGATCCAGTTCATTCTGTCTGCTGAATGAACTCTAGGAACATGCACAGATGGTAAAACGTAGGTTCCGCCGAGATTTGAACTCGGGTCGCAGGATTCAAAGTCCTGAGTGCTAACCGCTACACCACGGAACCACACGTACTTCCGGAACAGGGTTGTTCTTGGTTTTGTGATTGTTAGAGCTTTCCCATGAATCACTCTGAAGATCTCATATGATGTTTCTGAATAGATCCATTTGATACTGTTGCCAAATGAACTCTGGGAACATGCACAGATGGTAAAGCGTAGGTTCCGCCGAGATTTGAACTCGGGTCGCAGGATTCAGAGTCCTGAGTGCTAACCGCTACACTACGGAACCCCGTGACTCAATTAGGAGAATATTTTCATGACCAAATGAATATAAAGATTTTCCCAGAAACTTTCCAGAAATTATATGTCATCAACAACGCTTCATTTCGTTTACTCACAACCCTTCAAAAAACAACAACAATGATTACCCTGCACATCTTAGGGATTACTGTACTTAGAGTCTACGTAAGGTACGTTCCAAGTACGTGTAGCGGTTAACGCGAGCGCACAGAATAGGATCTAACTCACAACTACAATGACGAAACGCGAACGTTAGATAAAAGGTTTATTTGAATGTAAGAGTTCACATAAAGATAACTACAGTTTACAATAAGAGTGTCCTAGATATATATATATATATATATACATTAATCTGATGTTGTGCAGTATCAATAAATTGAAATTGAAATATAAGTTAAGATAAGCGTGTTAGATAGTGATAACGAGTAATAGACATAAGCAAAAGATAAAGAAGGTCTATTACTCGGAGAAATGGGATACAGTAGCCAATGGTCGTGCCATTGAGCTACTCAGAGCCAAGACTGACGTTTGCATGGGAAGGGGGGCTTATATACATGTCTAGCATTAGCAATCCAGATGTTTGACACAAGCTAATGCTTCTCATGAACAAAGTGCTGAATGGCAAGCATTAGCATATAAATAAACCTACAGAAACTATCTAGCATTCAGAAGAGGAATTGTATATTATATATAAGAATCCCGAATGAAATTCTAGTTATGCTTAATAGTTATCTACATCTTAGTTAATGTATTACTTTAGATTTACATTTAAAAAAACTGCGCAATCAAGAGATTACTATGAGAGTCAGTCTAGAATGAAAACTAGAATGCTAAGTACTTTGAACATCATTTACTTTTTCGCAGTCTAATTGAACTCGTTCACAATTGTTCAACTCGGTATAAAAAGTTATGATTGCTTCAAGAGCTACTACACCGGCTCTTTCGCAGTACATCATGATCATCATGATGCAGCATGAATATATAAACTCACATGCTCAGAACAGTTCAGTTCAGCCTAACTTTTAGTATCAATAAATAGCAAATATCAAATAACTTCTTTATTCCTTATTGTTATCTATTGTACTTGAACTCCAGACGGAAGAACACCCATATTCCCATATTGGTATTCCTTCATCTTTCTCCCCCTTCTAGCCTAATTTGTAGCTCTAACTATTCTAATGTACAATGTTACTCTATATCACTATCTTAATTAACCCATATAAACATACTTGTCTTGAATCTCTATAACCTGGCGTTCTCGTAACTTCAATGCCAACACTGGTTAGACACCCGGTTTCAACCATGATCGAAAAGCTATAACAGGAGATTATACAGGGGAAATGGAAGAACAAATTAAGATTTATTCTAGGTACGGTAGCAACTCAAGACGCGGAATGAACCACAAGTGAAACACGTGGCAGACGTGTTGTTTTCGATTCGTATTCATTGCTTAGGGCCATTAGTTAAGAATCGGTCGTTCACGATCAGATTCCTAAACAAACCATCTAAGAAAATATAATCATCATGCAGATATATTAATATTGCGAAAAATCTCTAGAACGGCAGAACGTGCTATCAAACTAGGATGGTCTTCGGAATTGTGATTGTTAATTCGAAGAGTGACTGCAATAATTTATTCCGCAGGATGTTTCTGAATAGATCCATCTCATTCTGTTGCTTAATAAACACTAGGAACATGCACAGATGGTAAAACCAAGGTTCCGCCGAGATTTGAACTCGGGTCGCAGGATTCAAAGTCCTGAGTGCTAACCGCTACACCACGGAACCGCTCCGAACAAGTTATAGGCAAGAACAGAAGATCGTGAACGACAGCCGAATGTTCAAGAGAAGCACAATCGTTTTTGAAACTGTGATAGTTGGTTTAATTTTTCAATAAGCAATAATAGTTTGTTTATTGAAGATAACCCTGCTTAGTATGAGCTCAGGTTGTAACTGAATCAACTAGAGGATAATTCGAGTGAATAATCGATAAGGACACACAAGCTGACCAACATAATTTTACACCTGTTAACATTGTCGCCGTCATATGTTTAAAATGAGGATTTCACGTGAACCTCATACGTCGTGTGTAATTATATTCTTCTTAACGTACGTTTTCGTATGTGTTGCGACAATCTTGCCATCAGGCATACATCTTGAAACATTGCAGAAAGGGAACATTAATTATAACCATCACAGTCAAGCACCCCCCCAATCATTTCATTGTTAATTCTCCATTTTTCTTGTTCATCAATCTATTTACTCAGCACGTGGAATGTGAACAAGCTTTTTAAACTATTTCATATGAAAAGCACGTGAATACCTGACGATAGAAGGATAGGAAGACATGTAGAAGAGATAGAGAGAAAACCCTATGCTCTTTGCAAGATTTGATAGATGATGAAACATCACATTTCCCCGATTGTCGAGAAGACGCAGAAGAAGCAACACATTTAGACATTCTCAATGAAATCCTAGAGCAATAAGCTAAAGAGACTGCCTTTGAAAGTGTAAATTGATTATTTAGTCAATGAGAAATGATATTTTGCATCCGTATGATAATTCTAATTAGTTTGAGTGAGTACACACTGTAATTGAACCAACAAAAAAACGTTGACAGACGATAAAACCTAGGTTCCGCCGAGATTTGAACTCGGGTCGCAGGATTCAAAGTCCTGAGTGCTAACCGCTACACCACGGAACCACATTTGGTCTTCGTTGCAAACAAAGTCATGAAAGTCTGTTTCAGATAATCTTCGCAACAGCGGCAATATTATTCTTTCTACGTTTTTGTCATAATTTTTTTTTCAATACATGTAGAAATTAACAATGGAATAATGTTAGCATCTTTTTATGTTTTCGTAATTCAGCAGAAACAGCAGATAAAGATAGTCCGCTGTCTATACCCGTAAATGAAGAAATGAGGTGCGAATGGACAATATCTACAACTATGGAAATTACTAGATCATATTAGAACAAAATAAAAGTATGTTGGGTGTTGTGGGGTTTTACGGAGAACACAAAGATGGCTTATCTAAACTTAGTATGGAAATTAGTAAGAAAATAGTAAAAAAAAAAGAAAAAAATTTTGATTAAAGTCATCTTTATATAGTACCGTATCCGTTATTTGAGCCTGCTGGCGGGGGGGGGGGGGAGGAGGGCAGGAAACTCTAGAAAACACTGGACTTGACTCACAGCATTCAATAGATAAGGCAGTGTATGCAGCGAAGGTTCTAGTAAAAATGAATGAAATTCGCAAATCTACCTATTAACTGTCAGTACCTGTCCTGTCTCTCTCATATTAATTTTTAAAAAAACAAAAATTGTCATGTTGGGCCGGTTGAGATATCACAATGAATAGAATTTGAGCAACTTCAATATGGCAAGAAAAAAAAGGAAAAGAGAGATTAGTTATCTCAAAGAATTATGAGAAGAATGAAAATTAGGATTCGTCATCAGAATCCTCTGCAGACACTCCTCTACCAACCAGGCGACGGGGTGAAAAACGGGCTGAAGGAGTGAAGATGTATGTCTGAAAAAATAACAGTAAAATAACTCGAAATAACTAAGAATTTGATGATAAGAAATACGATATCACTTAGTTTAAGAATAGTGTTAAGAGGTAAAGGAACAAAACTAAAAAATACCTTATTGGAAACAGGGACAGTTCGAGGCTTCACAACGTCAATATGATAATTTCTTCCCGTATTATTATCCCAATACTCTTGATCGGAAACCATGTAGCAAACACAAAACTCGCAGTGGGTACCCTGAACGATTGCGACTCAATTAACATCTTCTAGAAGGCAACTTTATCACCTTCATTTCAGCTGGCAACGAAATTGAGAATACAAAGCTATCAACATCCCCAACACTGCGAGAAAATGAAGCAGGAATGTCACGATAGTCAGTCCAATTAGTACAGGTAAAACGAACAAAAATCTGCAAGAGAATTGATGATTACAAGGATCATGGGACGATGAGTATCATGAGTATCCGTTAAAGATTGATAATACCAAGAAATAACATTTCAACTGCGACTAAATGTGATCAGAACGGAAGTACACGTGAACACCGTTCTATCATAACAAGATAGTTCAGTTTATATAATATTTAGAAAAAAAAAGATATATAAATATTGTGTACCTTTTTATCAAAAGCGATGTTTAGAACATCAACTTGACCGACAACCGTTACACCGACTACACGAAGCGAGCTAACACATAATTTAGAACTTCGAGTGCGTTTGCTGTATTCCGAATCCGAACGATAGATGAAGTTGGACAACACTATGCGTTCCGCATTTTTCTTGGCCGATCCATTAGAGTTAGTAGTGGAGGGAGTATAAATTCTGGAGATAAAGCAATTAAAAAAATTATATTATGCAATAAAATATTTAGTTTGCGAATGTTCGCTAAGATTAGATAAACTATTAAGTAAATTCTTATTTTCAACTTTCTGCATGAATAATGAAGTAATAACGAACGGAAAGCAGTTCTCCTCGATTGTGAAGTATTCGCGTTTTTCCAGATCAAGACCTAGAGCATCGGCGAATCGGACGCGCTTTTCACTCTGTTTCGAACGTGCTCTTCGGAGAGCTGAAGGCAAAGTTTTACTGCGATCTCTGCAAGTTCTGTTTAAGAAAAAAAATTATTCCAATTACGGAGTAAAAACCAGAAAAATATATAAATGAAAAAAATACACACACAAGCTGACAAACATAGTTTTACGCCTGTTAATGATGATCTGAGCGAGCGAGAAACAAGAACGAATAAAAGAGAAATTTTCAAAAAGAAGCATCATTACGATTGCCGATGGCCACGCAAACACAAATGAATCAGCTTCACTTCAGATTAGATGAACTTCACGCCCATCATGCAAGCAATTAGATACGTGCCAATACATCGAAAAGAGAATGAAAAAAAATTGTGTCAAGAAGTTAGATGAACTGATAAACTCATAAATCAGAATGAAGAAAATGTGAAAAAGGCACTGTCAAAGTTGTAAACGCTAAGAAGCATCAAAGCAACTACGACGTCAACACAAGAATCTTTTCTTACGGTAAAAAAAACGACTAACAACATGATCATCACCATTTACACTAACTAACGAAATCATTAAAATGGAAAAGCGAACTGACCACACAAAATCAAAAAAGGGAAGAAAACTTACAATTTGTTACGGGGAAGCGGCGCTACCGTATACTCATCCGAAGAGAAACCAGAATCCGGAGAACTGGGCTCATTTGCGTCAGCGGCGCAGCATGAAGAACAAGGACTCTGCTAAAAAAGCAACAGATACTTTTCAAAATTCTCAGAAGTTAATGTCTGTGTTTTTTTCTGTTTCTCTAAACAACGCTAGAGATCCCCCTATTATCCTCATTTGGTAACGGAAAAGAAGGAAACTCGAAATGTGGGGTCAGAGTACTATTTCATTGATCTTTTGGATCGAAAAATGTTATTGTAATATCAATAAAACATAATATATGAAAACAAGATATTCACCTCATCGGATAGTTTTAACTCAAGTCTCATCTTGTTTGCCAGCTGGTTCGGGAACATCACGGCCGCCATGATTTTAGGCAAAAGCTGAAAATTAATAGAATAGCTATATTATCAGTATTTGAAAACAGTATTTTTAACCAAAAACAAGTAAAAGAAAGTGATTTGCCGAAAAAAAAACGGATGACATACACACCATCGGCTGATATGAGCAAATGCAAACTACGAAAATCAAAGAACCTCGGAGATCAATATGTGCAAATAAGAGGACAACCAGAGTTGAGTGTAAGGTTGGAACAAACCAATTGAAATGGGAGGAGCCTTCGAGGAAGAAGAGAAGGTGGAGCGGAATCGTCTTTTTCTCCTCCCTCTTCCCGTTTCCTCTTTCTTTTCTTATCATGTCTCTTGCAAGGACGAAAACGAACGGATAGAGAGAGTGAGAGAGAGAGAAGGGGGAGAAGGTGATTTGATAGAGAGGAAATAGAGGTACTAAAATTTTGAAAGAAATGAGTTCAGACGTTCAATTTAAGTAGAATACGAGTTGAGGATGAAAAAAGAAAAGATTAATCTGTTTTTGATACAAAAAAGTTCAAAGAGAATTTGCAAAGGATAATCTTGGTCCAAGTTATAGTGCATTCAGAGTCAAGCTGACAACATGTATCAGAAGAAAGACAGGGAAAGCGAAAGCATCTGAACGTCCGTTTTCATTATGACTACAGATGAGAATGTAACAGAAGGCAGCGCCAAAATAGCAGAAGCTCTAGTGATAATGAAAGACAAACAAGTTAAACATCATGTGGAGCCAGATCGTGTCAGCAGAATGAAGGTACAGATCATAAACGGAATGGCAAAAATAAGTTGAAAAGCAGAAAAAACAATAAAAATGACAATTAAAAGGTAATTAAATACATTTCTAAACTATGTATTTTTATATCTTTAATTATGACAAAATTTGCAATCAAACAAGTTGGCATAAGAACAACTTTCGATTGTAACAACAAGCCCACCACTGCTAAAATCATCTGAATCTCTAAACATATCGTTACACCTACCGTAGACACACAGTAGGCGAACTATCAAAAGAAGGCGGAGATGTGCTAGACAGTACTCAAAATGATGAATTAATTTAATGTGAGAAAAGCAGCTAACGTTTTTCATGATAAACAACATATATGACTGATACCTATTTCTGTGAAATTTCAAACACTATTTGGTCAGCATTGGACCAGCCGACGAGAAATAGGATGAAAATCAAAGTGGGCGGAGCAATCTCTCAACAGAGTGCCAAGAAAAAAAATTGAAAACAACCACCCCCTCCGGTCTAATCATCAGAATGATGTAATATTAGCTTCTTTTGATTAAGACGTTTGTTTTGTACGAAGAAGAATAGGCTATGGGGGATGACGGGGCAGAGTGGAAGAAGACGAAAGACTGCGATGGGTCAAACTAAGCTTCAGCTTCTTCGCGTCATACAGAAAAAAAAACTAAAAAGAAAACCAAAGACGAGATATGTGTGAATTGCTTGCTATACAAAACTTATAATAAGATCATTTAAAATGAACAAGATGAAGGGGTGAAAAGAAACAGATAGAGAGAAGAGAAAGAAAAGAGAAAAGGAGAAAGAGCATTGAACTAGAGACAAATCAGCCGAGCTCATCAGGTAGGAAAACACCGAGTAACTCGTGATATTCTTTTAAAACTCTCCTATACTATTGTACAACAAATGAAACAAACAACATTGAATTAAACATTCTCTGGTCAACTAAAGACTTCCACCGAAGAAAAAAAATGATGAAATGAACCCTGTCAGTTGGAAAGATGTCAAACAGTTTTCAACTAGAAGCTACGAGAAACTATTCTTCTCAGAAAACAAATGAATAAATTGCATCATATTTATATATATATATATATATTATATGTATATATGGTGAGATGAATGACAAACTGTTCAATCACGCCATCAAAATCTGGCAAACTAACCTAGAGGTATTGACCCTAACCTCTGGTTGTCGTCGGCCGATACTATTTTTTGATGAATTTGGGGTCCTTTTGAAGTTGTGGACAATCAAATCCTGCGGCATTTCAAGAAGAATGTAATAAGTTTTCCCAATTTTTGTGAACATGGATGGATAAATGAGAATAAAATTTTGGGAAAGAAAGAGGATAAGCGTAGAGTGTGGGAAGGCTCAGTTGGTCCTGTTCAGATATTTCAATTTATTAAATAACAAAAAAAATTATTAAATATCATTGATGGAGAAAGAATGAAAACTTATTTAATGCATTGAATGAGAGAAAAATATTTATATGAACTAAATATGGAGAAGAATATAGGAGAATGAGTCGATTGCAGGCGTTATAGATAAGAAATATAGATAATAAGAGGAGGGAAAAAGAAGGATATAGGACAAGCTATGGCATCAACACAGATAGGCAAAATGATACTGTTAGGTAGAAGAAAAGAATTAGAAAAGAGAGTTACCAAAAAATGAGAGAATAGGAGGTAGGAGCAGGCAGAGTGAAGAGAAAAAGAGATTAGAAACCAGAGACGTAAAGAAAGAGGGAGAACGAGAGTGAGAGATAGAGAGAAATAGAGAGCAACTCTTTAACTAACATTTTTTGAGAGATCCATAGATGGATAAAGAGCAAACGACAGTTCTTGCATGTGAGCAAATCTTGTTGTACCCAAAAAAATCTCATTAATCGTCTCGAAAGGATTAGAGCCTTGACCATATAGTTATGATGAAAATGACAGATATTAACAGTTATCTAAACAAGATGCGGATGGTATTGAAGAATAATAATGCTATAAGCTAGAAGTGTCATGTATAAATAAGAGCAATACTCAAGTCAACATGTATGGAGGGGACATAAGTTTGAACGGAAAGTAGATCAATGGTCCGCTGACCGCTCTAAGGGTTCTTCTGATGGATTAGTGTTGGCATAAAAAAAGATTCCGGCAAAAAAATGAATACAGATTAATGAAACAGCAATAAAGAGAATGGTTCCAAGCAAAAGAGGGTGAAGAAGAGAGAGTAAGAGAGAAAGAGAGACAGAGAGAGAGAGAGAGAAAGAGAGAGAAAAACCATCCAATTCGGACGTAATGTTGAAAATGATTCATGTGTTTCACGTGAAACTCACGTACAACGTAAGTAAGCGTAAACTTGCTGAATGAAATCAATGCTGTAGTTTCGAAAGGCGAAACTTAATTAAAAATATTTGATAAAGAGTAATGAAACAATGGCATAAACAGAGGAAAGTATAAAAGGTATCAACAGTTGATAATGAATGTTAACATGGGGAAAAAAAGATTTTTTCTGCAAATTTTGTGAGTAAAACCATCCACGTGGACGCCAGAGATGCACCACGTGCACTTCATTCTGGCCTTTTGTGTTGTTGATTATGGTGCTACTGCGGTCAGCCCATTTGGAAGAGAAAACAATAAGAGCAGAGAGAGAAAGAGAAAGATAATGAAAGAAAGGGAGAAAGAAAGATAGAGAGACAAGAAATGTAGGATGGACTGAGTTAACGAGGATGGAGAGTTTGATAGCAAAAAGGACGCAACGACAGGTAAAAAATAAAATAAAAAGAAGATCAGAACAAGTCAGGATCTATTTCGGACGTAATATTGAATATGTTCAATCTGAAAATATATTTCAAACGTAAAGTATAGTGAACTCATATGATTGAAGATGGAATTCGAAGAAAAATTGTGAAAATACAATGACTTTTAATGAAATATTGAGATAATCACGTAGAAATGATGTATTCACATGAAAAGCATCAGAAAGCCTTTTCATCATTCATTATGATTCAATGCCGCAAAGACATGACTTCAGATAGTCGTTGACAAGAAAAAGGGAAGGGTGTCAGAAAGATAGAGAAAGAAAGCGATATTGAGAGAATCGAGAGAAGAAAAGAAGAGAAGAGGCAAAAATTTACAAAAAGAAATAAAGTGCATACTATCTTCCCTCCTATTTCTCTATTTTGCTCTCTCGAAGTTGAAAATGAAATATTCCTTGGGGCAAAAAGAAAAGATCATTGAAGATGAACAAAATACATACGAAAAGGTTGAGAACAAACTCTCTTCAACTAAGAATCAAAAGATCATTTCTGATTCTCAAAGACACAATTTTCTTTTTCGCAAAAATGATACAAAAAAAGAGAAAGTGAAGACAAGTATTATGTGTTTGTATGTGTGTGTGAGACGACAAGTGCTGAGAGAGAGGTATAACCTAACGAACAAAAATTGAAAAAAGATGAAAGAACGATTTTTGAAATAGCTTTTAACAGCTTTAATTGAGAAGAGGATTGTTCGATGAACGAATGTGTTTGAAAGAAAAACAATAAAAAAATCTTTTTTACCTAAAATCATCCAATGGTAACTGATAAAGATTTGATAATAATTTTGAATCAGAAAAAAAAAACTTCCTTCAACCAAAAAACGGATTTTGAGGATTAGGAAAGGAAGAGGAAGATGAAGAGAAGCTTCTTCGATTTTTTTAGATCCAAATATGATCACATAATTGCTTTGCTAGATATGAGTCCTCTTTATATTCTCACTTTCTCTATTCTTCTCCCTCTCTTTTGATTTTTGGCCAAAAATGAGCAGCAAGTCGTTCAAATGATGGAAATGACAGCGTCTTGCGATAGATTAGAATGAACAGGTAGATATGCCTGTTGTTCGACAGTAGAATGAACAAAGGTAGCATGGGTATGAGAGGGGGTTAGAGGGAATGAGGAGAAAAAAAAAGATCAAAAACTTAAACGAGTCTGCTATGCTACAAAAGCTTTGCAAAAGTCAGGCTGGGGAGGGGTTGTGTCAACACGGAATTTGGTCGAAACGAGAGTTTACTAATTTCTCTACAAAATCTTCTCTTTTTAATAGAAAAATTATCTGTTTAACTTGAATGTTTTTCCTAACTTTTTCACTTCTTTTACTCTCATCTTTGAACATTAGAATTTCCGAAAATAGCTTCAGAACCAATCTGTCTGTGTTAGATGTTATATCAACCACCTATTTCTCTCTTGAAGGTCCTCGTTCTTTTCAGTTGGTGTTTGTGTCCATCACCGTC